AGAAATTCCCCAATGTTCTTCACTGGCAGCCAAATGGAGTCTACGAAGCAATGATAGTTCCTCATTATAACAATAATATGATATTGAACTTTGAGTTACTGCCAGATATCTTAATACAGATATTGTATTATATACCCATTATAAAAACTGATGTGGAAGTTCAGTCAGGCAGAACGGCAAAGCCAAACTGGATTACAATTTGTTATATCTTATAATTAGTGTGGAATAATGGTATGGCCAGTCCACAAAATGACAGATCGCAAAAGCATTTGAAGATACTACAGGCTGGGAGTAATCATTATATTAAGCACAAGATTTTCTTGGTCATGCTTTTGCCAGCGACCTGTGTATCAAAAGAAAAAGATATTCTCATCCGTGCATATTTAACATAAAGAACCTTCACATGGTTGCTTAGCACGTTTCATTCAATCTGTTAAGAGATTGATGGAGCTGTATCACTACCAAACTACCAAAAGTCCACGTTCAACGGTAGTGGTAATAAAGACAAATAATATTTTAAAATGTTCATATGTAGCATTGCACTGACCTATTTCATTTCGATGGATTTCTAGAAGTAATTTAGTTCACACGAATACTAATTCTGGAAGAAAACAGTCCACGTTTTGCTCCACACCTCCAACTATAGTTATAGTGCAAAGAGGCCTCCTGTCTTTGTCTTCGCCTTATAACTGGAGCATCATGGGTTTTGTATTATAACTAAGAGCAGTGCCGCCATCAGAAATTTTGGGGCCCCTGACAAAGCATAAGGTCTGGGTACCCCCTCCGTCCCTCCTGGGCCTGCCCACACCCTACCTAGTCCGCTGACAATGATGCGGGACTCAATGTGGTGTATATAGTGGAAGTGAATTAGAATGTGTGTAATGGATGTAGTGTTTGTGTGTATTAGATACTGTTTGTGCAGTGAATGCAGAGTGTGTGTTTGTGTAGCGGATGCAGTGTGTATAGTGAACGCAGAGTGTGTTTGAGTAGTGGATGTAGTGTGTGTACAGTGATGTAGTGTGTGTTTGTGTAGTGGATGTAGTGTTTGTGTGTACTAGATGCAATGTGTTTAGTGGATGTAGTGTGTGTAGTGGATGTAGGGTGTGTATTAGACACAGCGTCTCTGTATAGGTAATGCAGAGTGTTTCAATGTGTGGTGGATGTAGTGTGTGTACTGTGAATACAGGATGTTTGTGTAGTGGATGCTGTGTGTATAGTTAATGCAGAGTGTGTGTCAGTGTAGTGAATGCAGAGTGTGTGTCAGTATAGTAAATGCAGAGTGTGTGTGTCAGTATAGTAAATGCATAGTAAGTGTGTATTAGACGCAGTGTCTCTGTATAGTGAATGCAGAGTGTTTCAATGTGTGATGGATGTAGTGTGTGTACTGTGAATACAGGATGTTTGTGTAGTGGATGCTGTGTGTATAGTTAATGCAGAGTGTGTGTCAGTGTAGTGAATGCAGAGGGTCTGTCAGTATAGTAAATGCAGAGTGTGTGTCAGTATAGTAAATGCAGAGTGTGTGTCAGTGTAGTGAATGCAGAGTGTGTGTCAGTATAGTAAATGCAGAGTGTATGTTAGTGTGTAATTAATGCAATGTGTGTTAGTGTAGTGAATGCAAAGTGTGTGTTAGTGTGTAGTGAATGCAGAGTGTGTGTCAGTGTAATGAATGCAGTGTGTGTGTTAGTGCAGTGAATGCAGAGTGTTTGTTAATGTGTAGTGAATGCAAAGTGTGTTTGTGTGTGTTAGTGTAGTGAATGCAGAGAGTGTGTTAGTGTGTAGTGAATGCAGAGTGTGTGTTTTACTGGTGTATGCAGAGTGTGTGTCAGGGTAGTGTATGCAGAGTGTGTTGTATTAGTATATGCAATGTGTGTGTTGTATTAGTGTGTGCAGAGTGTGTGTTGTATTAGTGTATGCAGTGTGTGTGTTGTACTAGTGTATACAGTGTGTGTCAGTGTAATGAATGCAGTTTGTGTCAGTGTAGTGTATGCAGTGTATGTGATGTACTAGTGTATGCAGAGTGTGTGTCAGTGTAGTGTATGCAGTGTGTGTCAGTGTAGTGTATGCAGTGTGTGTGTTGTACTAGCATATGCAGTGTGCGTGTGTGTCAGTGTAGTGTATGCAGTGTGTGTGTTGTACTAGTGTATGTAGTGTGTGTGTGTCAGTGTAGTGTATGCAGTGTGTTTTGTACTAGGGTATGCAGTGTGTGTGTCAGTGTAGTGTATGCAGTGTGTGTGTCAGTGAAGTGTATGCAGTGTGTGTGTTGTACTAGCGTATGCAGTGTATGTGTCAGTGGAGTGGATGCAGAGTGTGTGTCAGTGGAGTGGATGCAGTGTGTGTGTGTGTTGTGTTAGTGGATGCAGTGTGTGTCAATGGAGTGGATGCAGTGTGTGTTGTGTTAGTGGATGCAGTGTGTGTGTCAGTGGAGTGGATGCAGTGTGTGTGCTGTGTTAGTGGATGCAGAGTGTGTGTCAGTGGAGTGTATGCAGTGTATGTGCTGTGTTAGTGTATGCAGTGTGTGTGCTGTGTTAGTGGATGCAGTGTGTGTGTCAGTGGAGTGGATGCAGTGTGTGTGTTGTGTTAGTGGATGCAGTGTGTGTGTCAGTGGAGTGGATGCAGTGTGTGTGTTGTGTTAGTGGATGCAGAGTGTGTGTCAGTGGAGTGTATGCAGTGTGTGTGCTGTGTTAGTGTATGCAGTGTGTGTGTCAGTGGAGTGGATGCAGTGTGTGTATTGTGCTAGTGGATGCAGTGTGTGTGTCAGTGGAGTGTATGCAGTGTGTGTGTTGTGTTAGTGGATGCAGAGTGTGTGTCAGTGGAGTGTATGCAGTGTGTGTGCTGTGTTAGTGTATGCAGTGTGGGCCCAGCACACAGTTTCTTCACACGCAGTTCATTGCCTCCAATAACTCTTGTGAGACCCGCAGCCTGCGTGGCAACGCGGGTCTCGCGAGAGTTATTGGAGGCAAAGAACTGCGTATCAAGAAACTGTGTGCTGGGCCCCCTCTGCGGTAACAGGGAGCCGGGGGCCTGCGGCTACACACATAAATAGCCATATTCGCTATCTATGTGTGCAGAGAGGGAAAGTGGGGCCTGGGACTGCCAGAGCAGTCACCCCCTGATGGCGGCCCTGACTAAGAGGTTAAATTCTGCTCTTGCTGATGTAGACAGACTAAAAATATAAAAACTATACATCTTTTTAAAATCAGATTTAAGGAATGTAAAAAAAATATGCAAACTTTTGTTCTTATCATCACATAAGATGCAAACTTTGAGTCTTGAAGATAACAGGCCTAGAAAGCATTTTTACTTTCATCAGCTGAGACTTTGTATGATCAAAGTGCTTCCACATTTGTATTGATATCCAAGCAGAACATAAGACACTGGGTACAAAATGAAGCTTCACTCAAACTTAGCCTTTTGTTCTTTTCTCAAAGCACTTGATTTTCTCACAGACTACCCCACACACAAGGATCCTGACACTGTTTGAATGAGCAAATTGATAAAATGCAGATCTTAAATAGTTTTCAACC